CTGCTGGGTTCTTGCTGGCAGCCATCACATTACGTAAAGCAAGGACTTTGAGCAGCCAGCATGAGAAGTGACTGGTCTCACCTCTTCCGCTCCCTATCTGGCTGCTAGGACAGATACCCAACATGACAGAGCTCCTGTAATGGGAGGAAGATAGAACCCTTCCCCCTCTCCCACAGCATGTGAGTTCATTTGAGCATGTATCGATTGTCTCCTCTCACCCACAGAGTACTTACTGGGGCATGAAGTGCATGGGATGAGATACACTACATGTTGTGATAAGCATGAGGACTCATAGATCAATATTATGGGGTATATTGATCATCATAAAAGTGGAGGTATGTCTGCAGGTTTTGAATCTTTTGCTATGGCAGGGTCTGGTGCCTCGTGCTGTGGAGAATTAAAGATTATTTAAATATAGTTTTCCCTACTCCCCTAAGTAGTGCAATATCAAGTTCAGATGTCAACAAAGGAAGAAGTTGCAACCGACAAACTGATGGAAGTAGGAAACCTAGCATAAGACACTTCAGCAGCACATATACCGAGACCACAGTCGTTAGAGTAGACTCACCATCAGAGTTTTGAGAATGAAAACTACAGGTTGTGACCACTGTTTGACCTATGAAAAAAGCAGTAGACTATTATACCTGACAGGGTCAGCCACTAGAGGGAGACATGTACTCAGCAAGTAGCATTTTGTAGTCAGTCTGCCTTTCCTTCAAAATTCCAGTGAAAAGAATGAAAGGCAAAGTATCGAGATGCATTTGCCCAAACATAGCAGATAAAAATTAGTTAAAAAAATAAGACATGACAAGGGCTATTTTTTCAGTTATCTTTAAAGCAGTCAGTAATTTCTTTTGCAGCTAACACACCAATAGACGGTCACCATGGCAGTCAAGAACGTGAAAATGTTTCTTCAATTCTAACCTAGGTTTTGTTGGAATGGGAAAGGAAGAAGATTGTAAATTTAAGACCAGAGAGCTGCTTAACAGAACCATTGAGGCTTATTTGATCACTGCCCCCCACCCTCGCCACAAAAATATCACCCTTATAACAAATTGTTTGATTAGGGTTAATACTGCATGGGAAAATATCTCAAACATTCCCTTGGATCTTTCATAAACCCACACCTCCGAAATCACTAAAGAAATGGCACTCTGTTAAAACACACACAGAACACAACAACAACGTCAGATTTTCACCACAGAAATAGTGGAAAAGAAAAGAAGGGTCCAGATTTCTTGAGGCAGTTAGCAAAATCTACTGCTGTTTGCAATAATTAGCCTGTGTTCTATATCCACTATAACAACAAAATTTTCTGCAGCATACAGTGCTTTGCAGACTTGAACAGATAACTCCTCGGACGACCCCCCCTAGGTAAAGATAAAGATATACCTTTCTCATAGAGCTGGAAGGGACCTTGAGATGTCTGGGAATCCAGTCCCTTGCCCTCATGGCAGGACCAAGTACCATTCCTGACAGATTTTTGCCCCAGATCTCTAAATGGCCTCCTCAAGGATTGAACTCACAACTCTAGGTTTAACAGGCCAATGCTCAAGCCACTGAGCTACCCCTCCCCCCAATACAGTTTCAATTGTACAGCTGGGGAAACTGAGTCAGAGAGTCCTGTGACTTGCCCACTATCACACACAGCAAGTTTGTGGCAGAGGTAGTACTTCTGGGTCCCAGTCCTGAGCTTCAATCATTGTCCCAGTGACAAAAACCATGAATAATTTGACAGCAAGATAAGATCCCAAAATACCTAGGAAATTTACTTTATTGGGAAAGAGAAAAATCCAGGGTGAATTTATAGTTTTAACGAGACTAATGCGTGAAATAAAATCTTGTTTTGAAAAAAGTGCCAGAACAAGGGAACTTACAAAAGGCACAAAGGTTCCATATAGAACCTGTGTGAACAGTTGAACAGATACACATGGCGCAAATGGAGTTAGAAAATAAACACAAAGATGATGTGAGAGTATTAACTGGGATTGAAAATTATAGGAGAAAACAGTAGTCTCCCACGTTGAATATAACCAGTAGCAAAAATGCCAGCAGGTAACAAAACTGATAGGGGTATTTTGTTAATGTTTATCTTATTAATATTACAGAGGCAACCCTAAATTATTCTTTCTAAGCTAGATATACACAACAAAAAGCTGGCGGTCTGAAATTTATATACTCCCACACATAAAAATAACCTAATCAAACCAACCCAACAAAGCACACCATTGCAAATGTCCTCCATTAACCAAGACACTGAGTTACAATTACCGCCCACACTCCAACTTGGGCCTCTACCTCTGTTTCCAATGAAGTCAATGGCACTGGAGGGCTTTTGAAAATCCTCCACACAGGCTACAATTATTATTTTTTCTGTACAACATGAGGTTGTATGTGAATTTTTCATTTAATTTATGAATAATATTTGCCAGGTTTTCCTATTTAACAGAATTGTCTTATAAACACCACTAGTTAGGTACTAGCTCAAGCAGTAAATTACAAGGGGAGTAATGTGACACGAGTTTTGTCTCTCTCTTCTCCTCGCTCCATCCTGATGACCATATAATATTTAATGTCTTTGCTGTAGGTTCTGATCTGGTTCTTTTAAACAGTACACATCCCAGCCCAGGAAAGGCTACTGGGTGACACTTGAGATCTGAAGTATGTGAGTAAAAATAACCTGCCTTCCACTAGACATGATGAACACCAGACAGCTGAGTCACCTTTTAAGCCCCTTTTGATTTTCCAAATTAAAAAAAAATATCAGAGAGAGAAGAATTAAACATCCAAAAATTAGAGCAGCACAAACTGAAACCCTGAAGTTCATATTCTGTACTTCCTTTAGATTTCTATTCCTTTCTCTCCTTTAGATTTCTCTTCCTTTCATCAGACGCAGCAACTTTGTTTCAGTATCTAATGCTCACTCCAGCTATTAAAGGGAAATAGTTGACTTGAATTTGTTTTTTATATCAGTCAATGTTAAAAAAGTTTCATTTCCTACAGAGCGTGTATGGAGAAGAATTAAGGGATTTTCTGCTCCCCTATAAGAGTCTTTTTCAACAAGGAAGAAAGGCCTGGATCCTTAATAGGTGTTTCAGCATTTATTTATCATAGAAATAAGGGAAGTTGGGCCAAAATCTGGCCAAAATGACTAAGGATCCCATCCTGCAATGGAATAATTGCATCCTTGAGGGTCCAGTGTTCTACAAGGGCTCAAGTAATCATCTGCATGGATCCAATTTCAGGATCAGGATCTGACTAACACATGGTAAAGAGTGAAAGTGACCACAGTGTTCATTTGACACCAAACAAAACCATCTGGGGCTGGAAGCAGGAGGGACACCTTACCAATTTCTTTCAATTACACTGATTTTAGACTAATTGCAACTATTGGAGGTAAACAAGTTTCAGTCCAAATTATGATTTTCAAGTTGACCAGGACCTTTTACTGTAAGAGCTACTTAAAGATGCCCTAAACAATAGAATAGATCCACAGATTCAGCAGGCAAAAAAGCCATCCATGCGCTCTTGCCAACTAATATATGTGAATGAGCCCATTTGCTGCCCCTTTCATTACCTGTGTGAAAGATAAAAACTCAGGAAAGAGCACATAGACCCTAAGAAATTGCAGAGGACCACTAGATCATCTAGTGTGACTTCCTGTATATCACAGGCCATCGACATCCCCAGTACCAACACTAAACCCAAAATCAAGCCCAGAGGAGACTAGACTACTATGTGCTACAGGCTATGAATAGAAAAGACGGAGGTGGAATAGCAGGGAATTGATTAAGTGAGATGTACTCAGATAACCCCGGAAAGAGACCTGCACTGGCTGGAGCACCCAGAAAATAGAAACCCTCAAAAAAAAACCCACAACCCTGGGTCTAATCAATTACTTCAAATTCACTTTGGGGGGAAAGGGAAGGAAATTCTAGCATCACACACAATCTGCCACTGATTTTTGCTGAAGGATCTATTCAGCTGCAACAGACCAGTCATAAATCAGGATGTGCCTGTGATCAGAAAATAAAACAAACCCCAGCCTGGGAAGCATAATCGCCCTAGCTACTGCTGCTCTGGAAATAGAGACGGTTTACAATTAATTTTCTACTTAAATGACAACAGGCATCTCAAAGCACCTTGCAACGCCTCTGAAATCATGCAACAGGGAAATCCTCATGGCACCTGCCCACCTATTCCCCATCCACCCACAGAATTCAAATGTTGTTGAGCTAAGCAACTCTCAAGACAGACAATCCCATCCCTTCCCCCAACCAGCGGATTTGGCCTTGGGGATGAGGAGGAAGTTAACCTAAGGGGATGTTTGGAAGCCAGCACTGGGGAGGCAGTGGGAGCCTGGGGGCTACTCGAAGGGGATCCTGAGGGACTTTCAATCTAGAAGGGAAAATGCAGCAGGTGGAGCGGGAGAAGGAGAGAAAATCATGCAACAGCGGGAGGTTTGCTACCTGGGATTGGAGTGAGAGGAATAACAGTGAGGGGATTGCACTGGGAAGAGAATATGTTTCCACAGCCTAGAGGAAAATGAAGTAGAGGTTGGCACAGATTAGGGGGTGGGAAGCAATAGGGAGGTTGCAGCAGAAGGGAAATAAAGCAGGGAGAGTGTAAAGGAGGAGTGTGTTTAAGAAGGGAAATGGGGTAAGTTTGCTGCCTGCCTGGGAACCTGGGGGGAGGAGGGGGAGAAAGGAGATTTGCTGCCTGCCTCGGGAGGAGTAGGGAGGTTTGCTACCTTGGAGGGGGGAGCAGAGATGAAGGTTTGCTGCCTGCCTGGGGAGGAAGATGAGCTAGAGGGATAGGTTTGTTTCTCCTTGCGGGTGGGGGAGGGGGAATGGTGGGAGAGGGAGGTTAGCTGCCTGCCTGGGGAGGAGGCGGGAGGTTTGCTGCCCGCCGGGGCGGGGAGGGAAGAGAGAGGTTTGCCGCCTGCCTAGGGGGTGCTGCAGTGGAGCGGGTTTGCAGCCGGCGGAGGCTGCTGCACTCACCGGGGACTCGTAGGAGAAGGCACATTCCGTCTTGTAGACCCGGTCCCCTGACTTGGGCACGCGGATCGTGGGCATGTAGGGGACCAGCAGCTCCCCTAGGTCCCCCGCAGCCATCTGCGCCTCCCTGCCGCTCCCGAAGAGCGCGGCCCGCTGCATGTTCCCCCGCCGGCCGACCGCGAGCCAGGGGAAGGCAGAGCGACTGCAGCCGGGCCGGGGCGGCCTGAGCCGGGCCCGGGGGAGGAGCGGGGGAAGATGCTATTTTTAATCCAAGGGCGGCAGGAGCGGTCCCAGCTGCAGCCCCGGGGTCCTGGGGAGGGGGGAAGCCCTGGGGCGGGGGCGACGGAGAGGAGGAGCCTCGGGGAAGATGGATGGAGGGCAGCGCCCAGAGAGGATGTGTGGGGAGGGGAGGGTGGACAGCAAGGAGGGGAGGGGCCTGGGAAGCAGGCTGGGGCAGGGGATTGGGAATCCCTCAGTTCCCTTCCCCGGAGCTGTAGCACCCTCCTCCTGCCCGGAGGGGAAGTTGGGGCCATTCTAATGGACAGACAAAACAGTCTGACTCCTTCCAGGCTCGTAGAAAAAGCGTCCCAGTGTCACTTCCCAGCCCTCCCCAGCAGCCGGACTGGCGGGTCCAGGGCATCTCTGCTTGAGCCTGGCTGAGGGAAGCGCTGAGTGGAAAGCGGTGGACTCTGGGGGCGTGTGCTGCAAGCGGTCAGACTACGGGCTCATGCTTCTGGTACCTTTTGGCTTTAAAAAAAAAATCCGTGAAAGACAAGGGGCTGTGTCACCCTGTAATCCCCGCTGGGAAACATCAGCCAACCCAAGCCCACAGCTTAAAGAACACAGCTGATCATTTTTTTCCGAGTTACCCCGACCTGCCGTTTGGGCCAAGCATCCTGCTTCCCCTAGGTCTGACTGTAAGCTCGGGGATGGTCTTCAGTTTGGGTCTTGTATCAAGCCCAGCACCCTGATCGGTGCATGGAGCAGTGATGAGGGAGACAGTTGCTGGAGCTGGCTTCAAATATCCTGATTTCTGATGTTGTCTTGTCACTTAGTAAGGAGCAGTTGACAACAACAGTGAGGAAATTGTCTATGCTATACTCCCAGAGCCATTCCTACTGGTGCTGGTACCCTATGCACCCCAGCCCTGATCCCTCCTCCCCCAGAAGTGTCTGCTGTACATGAGGGGAGAAGGGGGAGACACTGAAACAGTGGGAGAAAGGGGTCATCAGCTTACCCGGCCCAGAAGCCATTTACTGCAGTGATGTCTGATCTATCCATTCTGGAATAGTAAGCACCATGGAGCATGGTTGGGAGGGAGATGTGGGCCGGAGGACTCCACAGTAGCGACAGACAGCAGCTTAGCCTCCCAAAGGTTTTGTCTACACTGCAGGGTTTTTGTGGATGAAGCTTTTTGCGGAAGAGTTTGTCCACGAAAACTTCTTGCACAAAAGCGTGTCCACACCTCAAAAGTGCATCGCAAAAGCGATGTGCTTTTGCACAAGAGAGTGTCATGGATGCTCTCACGCAAGAAAGCTCTGATTGCCATTAACAGAATGGCCATCAGAGCACCTGTGCTTTTTCTGATAGGCTCTTTTTGTGCAAGAAACCCCTGCGGAGTGTCCACACATCTTTTTGCAGAAGAGCTGTAGTGTAAAAAGGAGTTATGCCTCGTGGAGAGAGGAATTACTACCAGCAAAGGCCCTCTGTGCTGTCGATTTACTGGGGGGGGTGTACATGCACGCACAGAAACATGCTTTAGGCGTGGATGCTCCTCTAGTTTTTGTGGTGTAGACATAGCCAAAGAGAAGTGGCACTTTTAAGGAGAAAGCACTGCTTTGCTCCAGCCACCTGCTGCATGGCTGCCCCCTGCTCCATCCCAGAACTCCAACACAGGACTGCCTACTGAGCAGGGCACCATGAAATTTGGGGCAATTTGGTGCCTCATTTCATGGTGCCCTACATGGCTGCATGTTTTGCATATGGGTACGGAGAGCCTTGTATACTCAGCCTAATTGAGTGCCCACATTTCACATCTGTACAACAGAGATAACTGGGTTTCTATGGATGTACTGCTTTGTAGCAAGCTTGATGCCCCTACCTCCTCCCAGGGGCTATTAAAAGAGACAAACAGCTGTTAATAGACATGTGCACATGTTTTTTCAAGTACCCTCCAGCACTGCCTATTATCATGCCCACATAGTTTATAGTTACCATCTGCTTGATATCACATCCACAGTTTAATAACTGAGCTGGCTGTAATGCAGAGCTGGAAGCTGCTTGATACTAACGTCTTGGTTTTATATGCTGCTTCTTGCCCCACCAGACTGACCTGCAATTGCAGTGGTTCATCATACTGAGCCAGCAAGATGACATTGCCGTCATATTTGAAATCTGAAAGAAGGATGGCATTCAGCTTAACCCCACTAACTGCTGACGCCTCAAGCCTACCCATCTAGTCAATGCTTGATATTTAGCATTGAGGGTGAAAGAACATGGCCTTGCTCAACTCACATGGAGACTGGAAACTACGTTGTGTATCTGCCATTGACTCCAATGTATTATTCGATTCTAGAGCTCTTCTATCAATGACATTGTTGTCCCAGGGGATGCCAGTTCACCTCACTGGATCCCACAAACGTGATGTCCTGGAATCAGAGGCCTTATAGAAGTCTGTAGAAAGTGCTGTGGGGGGGCTTCTTAAATTCATCTATCTCTGAAAAAGCTGTCAAGATAAAAAGCTGGTTAACAGTGGACTGAGCAGGTCTGAGGCTGCCCTGAGTATCTTGGCCTTTGCCACAAAAGTTCACTGTTAAGACCTTAATGTGTAAGCAAAGACTTTCCCTAGAGTGGACAACAGCATCATACTGCTACAGTCGCTACATTCACCTTATCCTTTCTGAACAGAGTAATCCCCTTCTTCCAACCTTTGGGGATGACATTATTATGCCAAATGGCCTAGAAGAGTGTATGGTATGGCAATACTCTCTCCTGTCTTCAGCAACTCAGAGGGGATGTAACAAACCTTTGGCCTCAGTTCGTGGACTGCAATATGGATCCCTTCCTGGTTGAAGGAAATAGGCTGTAGTGGAACTTCTTGACTCTCTTGAGGGGACTTCCAGAGATCGACAACTGAGGAGCATCTTGAAATGACCTTCTCACTAATGCAGCTGATTTGGCAGGCTCTGATGCTGTCATCCTGACTCTTTACTGAACAAACTGGTGCCACCTACTCTGCAAACACTGCAATGTTGAATAAAGGGTGCTGAAATCAGGACTGGATTGTACCTATATATAGTAAGAAACAGGCTTATGTCAGCAGATCTTACCACAGACAAAGGGTGGGAAAGAGGAAGTAGTGTGATCTCTCGTTGACATAGAGGGAGATGGGATACTAACAATTTAAATGATTTGCCTGAGGTTACACACATCTCCCTGAATACCATGCCAGGTCCTGGACCACAAGACTATCCTCCTCTTTCTCTTCATTTCTGCTCTTTTCATTTTGAAAGGGATATTGATAAGATACAGAAAGGCAGCAAGGATGCTATAGAAACTGAAGAACAGGAACAGAAAAATGAGTAGCAGCAAACTGCAAAATCTATTTGAAATATTTAGTTTTTTAAAGGTACACACAATAGGCTATTAAATAAACCCCCTCAACAGCAAGAGACAAGAAACCACTGAGCCACTACAAGTGAAATCACAGGCTGTGTCTAAACTGCAGAGTTTTTTCAAAAAAACTTAAATCGAAAGAACGTGGCTTTTCTTTCGATGGCGGTAATCCTCATTTCACAAGGAATAACGCCTTTTTTTGAAAGCGTTCTTTCGAAAAAAGGCATTCTTGAATGCAAACAGGACTTTTTCGAAACAGAGCATCCAGACTGCCTGGGTGCTCTCTTTCGAAAAAGCGACTCACTTTTTCGAAAGAAGAGGTTGCAGTCTAGACACTCTCTTTCGATAGAGGCTTTTTTGAAAGAGGCTTGTAGTCTAGATGTACCCACAGGCTGTGTCTACATTGGCACCCCTTTCCGTAAAAGGAATGCTAATGAGACCAGTCGGAATTGCAAATATTTAAATATCCCCCGCAGCATTTGCATGAACATGGCTGCCGCTTTTTTCCGGCTCGGGGTTTTGCCGGAGAAAAGCGCCAGTCTAGACGGGATCTTGCGGAAAATAAGCCCTTTTCCGGAAGATCCCTTATTCCTACTTGAAAGTGAAGTAGGGATCTTGAAAGTAGGAATAAGGGATCTTCCGGAAAATGGCTTATTTTCCACAAGGGTCTAGACTAGCGCTTTTTTCTGGCAAAACCCCAAGCCGGAAAAAAGTGGCAGCCATGTTCATGCAAATGCTGCAGGGGATATTTAAATCCCCCGCAGCATTTGAAATTCCGACTGGTCTCATTAGCATCCCTTTTATGGAAAGGGATGCCAATGTAGACACAGCCACAGTGTTTAGATCAAGGGATAAAGAAATAGAGCTGTGACAGTGGGCTAACTGTTATAGTTTGTATGGGGTCCTTATTCTAACAAACATTAGAAACAACACTGATGGCAAAATGTTGATAGAATAATTATTCCATCGAACTGTATACACAGGGACTTAAGTCAACTTAACTACATCACTCAGAGGTGTGGATTTTTCGCACCCCTGACTGACATAGTTAAAACAATGTCAATTTCTAACAGATGATGCCAGAGATCAGAATTTGTCTCAAACAATCTTGGAGTTAGAGCAGGAGTCTCAAACTCTCAGCCCGCAGGCCATCTACTGCCAGAGCATTTTCACAATCCAGTCCATGAGTCCTGGCAGCCCAGCATGTGTGTCCATCCTTGTCCTCCAAGTCCCGCCACCTTCTACCACCACCCTGCCCTCCCTCATCCATTGTTCCCTTTCGCTCCGAGGGATATGGCCTCAGGGATTAGTGTAGGGGTCTAGTGCAGGGTAGCAGCATGTGTCAGGCCCTCCTGCACTCCTTGCAGTGGCGGGAGATAATGGGGAAGCAGAGCAAATGCACTGCATTTCAGGGATTACCCAGGGGGCCCAACTCATGCTGCAGGCCTTGCACCAGGCCCCCCCTGGCCATTTACCTTGGGGAAAGAGGTGCAATGGGGGGAGAGGGCAGAGTGGTGGCAGGAAGGGGCATGGCTGGGGGGGGGATGTATGGGGTTGGAGGGGTACAGACATACCCACACCTCCCATGTCGCCAGGACTACTGGGCCAGATCGCAAAAATTCACAGGCTGTAGATGGCCTGAGGACTGTGAGTATAAGACCCCTGAATTAGAGGAACTATTAATTTCATCTACACTGTAAAACTAGATTGGCATAGCTGTATTGCTCAAGGGCAGGAAAAATTCATACCCCTGAGCAGAATAGTTAAGCTAAACTAAGTCCCAATGTAGATAGTGCTAGGTTGACAGAAGAATTATTCTATTAATCAAGCTACTGGCGTAGGTAAATGTCCACACTCAGGTAGGTGTGCCAGTGTAGCATTCTGTGTGTAGTTAAGCTGTTGGTGGTTAGATAAGAAACTTTTTTGTATTGTCTATAATACAAAAAAGAAGTTGATCGAAGTTTCATTGACCTACAGCTGCCATGGAAATTAAATTACTTTTGCACGTCCACACTATATTATAATACAAAAAAGAAGTTGATTGAAGTTTCATTGACATACAGCTGCCGCGGAAATTAAATTACTTTTGCACGTCCACACTATATTCTTTATGTTGGTGATGCACAAAAAAAGTAAATGAACAGCTATGTCCCTGCAATCTCAAAGCAAAATGCATACTTACCAGAGGTTCTTTCCCCCGCATCAGGCTCTTCCCAGGAGGGACTGTATAGACTAGCTCAAATGCTTTAGAGTCAAGAACATGTCATTCTTCACTGTGCAGATGTCTTGGTTTCCGGACCTCCATAATCCTCCTCTTCATTCAACACCTACTCCTCCGTGTTCACTTCAGGAGCCTATGACTCTAACTCCATCCAATGTATCCACAGGTCTCTTGGGAGTGGCCACAGAGTCTCTGCACAGCTTTTATAAATGTGACTTGTCTGTGGCTCTGCACGAGCATGACTGTTAGGCTCCCTGGCTTTCTGGTATATCTGCCACAGCACTTGACTTTCACACAGCACTACTGCACATTCCTCTTATAGCCTTTCTCTGCCATGCCACAAGTGATATGCTCATCAATATCAATGGCTGGATGAGACCCATGCCTGGACAGCCACCTCATCTGATGAACCCAAGAGATACACCATCTCCTGTGATCTCTAGATGGGAGTCAGTTGTGTAGTTGCTAGGCATGCTTGAGAGCTGCTAGGTGAGTTCTCCATACCAAGCAAATAGGGAATAGAAATTCAAAAATTCAGAGGACTTTAAGAGTGAAGGAATGTATACCAGCATACTTGGCCACTGGGCAATGGAATTCAAAATACTGAGCAGAATAGTCACAGTGGAGCATTGTAGGACACCTCCTGGAGACCATTAAATTCAACATAAATAATGCAGTATCTTTACTGACACTGCATCACTAATTACAGCAACTTCGGATGGATATATTTCAAACTAAAAAAGGCTTATGAGCATAGTACTTCAGGGATCGGTATTAAGACTTTTTTTACTCATAATACTATCTAAGTGACGTGAATGAGATTAAGTCTTCTAACCTTTATAAAGCACTTTGAGAGTTACTGATGACAAGCACTACATTAGAGCTAGGTATCTGAATTATTATTTATTAATCTGAAGGCAAAAAATTGGCAAAGCAAGAAATGCCCAATCCAAAGGTCGCTAAAGTCAATTGGAGCCTGTTGAATATACACCAAGGAATGAAAATGGAAAACAAGGCTGTATTTAATTGGGATGTTCTATACAGTGTGGGTCAGAGTACAAACAAAGGTGTCTGTTGTCTCAGAAAGACTGTAGCAGAGGATATCAAAGATGTTCGTAGTATATACAAAAGCTTCAGAGTAGCAGAGTTAGTCTGTAACAGGGAAAACTTAAAACACAACAAATAGACTAGTAGCACCTTAAAGACTAACAAAACACGTAGATGGTATCATGAGCTTTCATGGCGCAACCCACTTCTTCAGATGATGGTAGTATGTAGTTATAAGAAAGGGCTAAAGGAGCTGGATTTATTCTGTCTAGAAAAGCAGAGACTCGAGAGCAGCTAATGGCAGATGGCTTCAAGATGCCAAAAGGGACTGATAAGAGGAGAAATACAGGCACTTAAAAAAAAGCACTGCTGATAAAGGGAGTTAAAAACTAGGGGCATATAAACTAAATTATGCCCACCTCTAATATCATTAACTCACTGGCATTCACCTTCCTTCCCCCCCCCCCATCTCCCTTCTGTTCTGTAATGTGATTTGTCCTTTTCATGTGTGTTCATTTTTTTTTAAATTGTATCCTTTGGTATATATGGTTGTGACTATTTTCTTCCATTATTTGATCTGAGGAAGTGGGTCTGGCCCACGAAAGCTCATCATCTAATAAACCATCTTGTTAGTCTTTAAAGTGCTACATAGTCCTGTATTTTGTTTCAGCTATACCAGACTAACACAGCTACATTTCTATCACTATGTCCATTGGAGTTTGAGGAAATACATCCCTCTAGTGGCAAGTAGAATAGGCGGCAGGTTTAAAACAAACATAAGGAAGTCTCAGACAGGATAGCAGTGTTAGTCTGTAACTTTAAAAACAATAAGTAGTCCTGTAGCACTTTAGAGTCTAACAGATATATACATAGTAGCATATACTCATGATAATATATATATTTGTTAGTCTCTAAGGTGCCACATGACTACTAGTTTTTATAAGGAAGTCTTTCACACAAATCATCATCTATACTTGTCGCTATTGTAAAGGCCAAAAATATAACTGATTCTCAAAAGAGAATTAGGTAAGTTCCTGGAGGATAGGTCCATCAACTGCTATTTAGCCAAGGTAGTCAGAAGCAGCTCCATGATCTGGTTCTCCCTAAATATGGCTGCTAGAATCTGGCACTGGATGACAGAGGATGAATAATTTGAGAAGTCCCCCTGTTCTGTTTTCTTCCTGTGAAGCATCTGGCACCAGCCTTTGTTGGAAGACTTGATACTGGTTTACATTGGCCATTGGTCTGACACAATATGGTCATTCTTATAGGTTGTTAAAGAAAACTGTTGTTCCTCTTCAGCAATTCCCATTTAATGTTTAAATGTACGCCCTCAAATAGCTACATAATCACACAGTTGAAGACAGTCTGTTACTTTTATCTTGTTTCTTGTTCTTCAGACATTTAAAAAGCTTTATTCATCTACTTTTCTCTTTTACCTACCAATATTTTATATGAACAGAATGTGTTTCCCTTTTGATTGCAAAACATTAAAACTTAACTTTTTCCATTAATAAATGCTGAATTATATATCAGTTGTGGAAAAACTTAAGTTTTTAATATTTGTCTGTTCAGGTCCCTCCCAAGCATGGGAAAAAAGGGTATAGTTTCATGATAGAGCAGAAGTTTGCCATCTGCAAACTTTTGAGATTTCCAAAAGCACACATGGGCTAGGAGTACAAGCCCAAGGATCTGTGGTCCTTAATCCTATGCTTTTGAAAGCCTTCCCTATTCAGTTCTGGACTCTCGACCTTACCCACATAAAAGTTAGGATTATTGAAAGAGGAGACAGAAATGATGATGTATATGTGATTAGTAATGAAGATACAGCATTGTACACAAGTTGTCATTCTTGGAAGTTTAATTTGTACCCACTGCCAACTCCATAATATGAAAGCAATAACAGGGAAAGTAAATGGAGCCTGAGAGTGACAAGTATCTGGAAAACATGATATTCACATACAAACCAAGATAAATTAAGACGTGATACCAATACTATTATATGCCTCTGAAACTTCACAAATGCTATAAAACCACAAGAGGAAACTTTAAAGCATTTCATCAGAGATGATTTCTGATTAATAGAAATAAATCAAACATCAGGAATGGTAACACACATAAACTTGTAGGCTGGGGAACATTTAACCTCCCTGGACACTCAGTAATGGATTTAAAAGTAGCCATTTTTCTACAAAGGAATTTTATCATCTAATTACAGAGCGAGACTGCTGAACTGGAATTCATTTACAAATTCAACACTATGAACTTGGGCTTGACAAAGTATTAACTGGTTAGACTACCAAAGGCAATTTCCCCTGCCTTTGATATCTGCATTTGCACATCAAAAGCAGTGAATGGGACACATCGGATCTGACTCAATAAGTGTCATTATTACCGGCCTTACAATTGACGGGTAACTGCTTTTGCTGTTATATATACTCTGGATTCTGTAACTTCCAATCTAACTCATCTGATGAAATAGGTATTACCCAGGAAAGCTCACAATATAATATATTTGTTAGTCTCTACGGTGCCATAGGACTACTCGTGAATAAAAATAAAGTTATGATTTATTTTCTAATATTGTTCACTTAATGTTAGGTATGGGAATATGTAGGAGACAAATTATATGGTTTGATAACAGAATATAGTCTTTCACTTCTCAGATGCTTACTCCAATCTATCTTAGATCAGTCTGGCTGTTTGACAGTCTGTGCGCAATAAGCTGGTGGTAGGACCCTCCCTAGGGTTTGACAGACTGTGTGCAATAAGCTGGTGGTAGGACCCTCCCTAGGAAGGTGTGGGACCTGGGACAACCCCCCTAGTGCCCCAGGTCCAGGGCCCAGGGCAAATCCACCACTGCAGAACCCAGCCCACCAGTCCATCCCTTCTTCCCCCAAACTCCTTCCCCTGAGCAACATGAGCCAGGAGATTACTGGGGGGCCTGGAGTCACACAGGTCTGCTCCACTCTGCCCCACTGCCCTCTCCCTGTTCATTGCACTCACTTGTCTGTGGTGGCTCTGGTTTGTGTTGAAATGTGTTAGACACATTACACCACCAGCCAGATCACCTACTGACACTCTTGGAAAACACAAACTATTAGGAACAGACATACCACACTTAGCCTCCATCAGTATACATTTAACATTTGTACAATATTAACAACAAACCTTTTAAAACTTATTAGAATCAACACTGCAAAATACTCAAATAAAAACTTTTATTTAAGTCAGCAAGTAACAACAGGATATACATTACATTATTCAGTCGTTATTCGTGGGTGCCCTTTTGAAACAGTAGATTAACTGCTTAATTGTCAGGAGTTGCTTTGGAAGAATAATCAATAAGATTTTTATCAGGGGTTTCAAACTGATACCAGGGTCCATCTCCCCTCGCTCTCATTAGTCGACGCGCTTCCTTCTCTTTCATCCTACAAAAAATGGAAAATGAAAGTCAAATTCAGCATATAATAAATCATTTTCCATGGTCCACATTCAGTCCTCTTCTACAGCTATCACAGGAACTTTATTTAAATAAAGAAAATACTATAAATATGAAGAGCTAGGAGGCTGCACCCCCTGCGCGCTATGCTCTCCAACCCCTTCTCTGGGGGTAGGCAGTCCTGGCTCTTCCCCCGCCGCTGGGGAGGGCCAGGAGAGGGTGTGGCAGCCCTATCCTACTCCCTCTTTCACACACCCTGCTGTCAGGAAGGGCAGAAGTTGGGCCAGCCCCAGTTCTTCCCCTCCCTGGCTGTCAGGGAGGGGCGAGGCTAGGCCAGCTCCAGCTCTCCCCAACAGCTGCTGGGTAGGGCAGAGGCTGCACCATCCCCTGCTCTTCCCCCTCAACCACTGGGTGGGTCTGAGGCCGTGCCAGCCCCAGTTCTACTTGCTTCCCCCCTCCCCGCCTGCCCCAGCTTTCTCCCCTTTCCCCCCCAGCCACGCCAGCCCCAGCCCCCATCCCTCCGACCATCAGGTAGGGCCGTGGCCCAGACAGCCCCGTCTCTTCTCCACCCCTCCCCTAGTCGTCGAGCAGGGCCGAGGCCATGCCAGCCCCGTCTCTACTCCCTTCCCTCCTTCAGCTGCACCAGCCCTGGCGCTCTCCTTCTGGCCGTGGGGGGGAGCCAAGCCAAAGCCTCACCATGCCCTATGCTCTCCCCTCAAGCATTGGGGAGGAGGGAAGCCACGGCATGGCAGCCCCAGCTCCCCAGCAATGGGGAAAGGGGCACATGGTCAGGGCTCCTGGGATGTCACTCTGTCATCCTGCAGGAAAAATGTTTTTAATATTATAAACACACACACACACACACACACACAGAATTAGTATTTTATTTCTCAAGAAAATATAGTGAAATGCAATGATTTTTTTCAATAAATTAACTGAATAATAAAACTGTAAAAAAAACTGATAGGATTTCTAACCACAAAGTGTAGTCATCTTCAGAATAGTGAACTAAAAACTTTCCTCTGACTTTTTCAGTCAGGCTGTGTCTAGACTACGGAGTTCAGGGAAGGCCGCTGCATCCAGGGAAGGCATCTGCTCTTGCGACATTTTTTGCGGAAGAGCACACGCGCTCTTTTGGAAGCCCAGTCTTCCTCATTTTACGAGGAAGAAGGGCTCTTCCAAAAGAGGGGTTTTATCCGAAATTTGGCCCAATGTAGACAGGCCAAATTTCAGAAAAGCCTCTTCCAAGAAAACAATTAGAAAAAGGTATGCAAATTACAGAGCGCAATTTACATACTTTTTTCCGATAAAAAGCAGCAGTGTAGACATAGCCTCAGAAATAACAAGGAAAGATGAAGGTGGGAGAGACTCTATCAAGAAAATCTAGAGGCAACATTCCAAGAAGTTTAGAATCTCTTCTGCTGGTGCTCAGTTTACTCAGACAACAATAGTATTACACTAATATGATACTGGGCAATATCACTGGTGTCCATAGATTTCTGGACAATGGCAACAAACCAGACCAAACTTGTAAGCATTAGCAGAGGCACAAGAATTGTCTGTCTCCTGACTCTGGAAGATAAAAACTCCACTGGCTTACACTTGGTTTGTTTTTGAAAAGTTATTGTTGCAACTATTTTTAAACTGAAGTTAAATTCTGCAAAAACTGATGACTTAGAACGAATATTTGCCAGGAAAAGCTTTTCACTCACCAGTGGCCAGAGGATTTTTCAAGCCCTGATGAGATGTCCTATTCTATCATAACCAAAATGGTTTAGGATAGTACATATTGGCTTTTAAAAGCTTCAGCAAATGCATCCTCTCTTTACCTTAGGTCAGATTTATTAGTTTCAATATCAATTAACGCCAACATTTTTTCATATTCCTTTTCAGGAGAGTCAAGGAGATAACGAGAAATCCACCTAGTTATAGGATGCTGGAAGACATGAAAATAAAAATATTAGATAATTTATATAATTTCCATAAAAGAACCCCACACAAAGAATAATGATAGGGAAATCTGATCATACTTTTAAATATTCTTTTTAGTACCATTTACCATGATAATGTGCAATTAAAAATTATGTTAGGCTGCATACCCTACTCTTGCAAACACTTATATGCTTAACTTTATTATCATTCATGGCACTAATTTAAGCAGGATTAGTCACAAGTTATAAAGGCCTATGAGAAAAGTTACCCATTTTCCATTTTTGACACTATCCAAAATATTGCACCATAAAATAGGTTGTTATGGAATTTTTAAAAAGGACAGTTAAAATAGAGGGAAATCTGCATTTTATATTTTAGTAACAGACAGTTGCTGAACTAGTTAATCAAAAACTGCTACCATAATTTCCATAAAATGGACCCCAAACCTATTACTGTAAAGATTCAGTAACCTTTATACTAAGCTTACACATGGAACCTTTTATTTAATCATTTAATCCCAGTGTAAATTGAACTAGTCAGATACAAGTCTGTATAGTGGTATATACAACCATTAGCCAGGTACTTGTTGTGCAATCCCTTTATCACTTTAACTTACAAATGTAGAATTACAGATATTATTATTATTTTATGTAATAGCACTAAAAATAAAACAATGTAAATCTTTAGACCCTACAAGTCCACTCAGTCCTTGTCATGCATATGGATAGATTTTACCTCAGGATTTTATCATTCAGTAGGGGAATTAATTATAAAGGAGGTATTTTCCCCCTGAAGCTGCTGGGTTAGCTTTTATGTATACTATTTTGCATGTGTCCCCTTTAGCAGAGTCTTGGCTCATTTTGAAGGGGTAAGTTTTATCTCAGAAAGTCAGTATTCTGGCGATCGGAGGAGTGTGAGTTGTGCAGGAGAAGGGTGAATTCTTGATGCTACTCCTGTTGGGTTGGGATTTTGAACTTGCCAGGCTCACCCCTTGTCCAAAGAGGGCTTCATTCAGTGTTGGAGGAGGATGGGTGAAGGGGGAAAACAAGCAATAACTTGTGCAGTGTACGGTCTGGGAGGACAGGAGGTGACGATGGGGGCCCAGGGAAATACAAGCAATGACTTGAGCAAGAAGTGGGTGAGGAAGGTGTCTTGCTGCTGCTTCTGGAAGGGTAGTTTCTGGTATTGAGCTCACCAGGCTCACATCCTTTTACTGAGCTAGGTAGGCTCCCTTCAGCTGAGTGAATCCTTGTTTGCAAGGGAGGGGGACTTTTACCTCAGGTGTTTGGCATGCAGCAGGGGAGGGGAGGCCGAGCTTGCCAGGCCCCTATTCTCTATGGGGTGCCATCCAGATTAAGGGGCCACTGGGAGCAATGGGGCATGGTGCAGGTGGCTTGCGGGGGAGAGGGGGAATGTCAGTTGCCAAAGGGGCATCTGCCCTCATTAATATATCCAACACACTTTAAATATTTTCCTCACAAGACTGATGTATAGTGAGGAGGAGTGTAACTGGAAATGCCATATCCCTTTCATATTTTTGTACTCACTTTGTAGTACTCCCAGTGATCAGGAATATAACCTTCTGGAATCTCTGCAAGTTCAGCTTCACCTAGCAAGAGAAAATGGAGAGATGTTCAATACAATTGACATTTCAGAAACTCACTTTGCTTTCCTTATACAAATAAGGACCAACCAAAGAGTATTTCAAACACAAAGTATTTAAAAAGACACTATCGATTTGATTCTATTCAGTTTAAAAAAAAAAAAGAGAGAGAGTTGGAAGTAGTTTCAGATGCTACACCAGCTTCTGAATTCTCCTACCAATTCTGTTGTACGGTTATAAACAAACACCTATATTTTAACCCACACAAGGAAAAGGGAAAATGACTGACTTCACAGAGGAGAGTGAAACTGACTGTACCCAATATACCTTTGCAAAATAAACAAGTTGTAAAACATTAGTGAAATGCATTTTCTGACCATTCAATTAATGCAATCTAAGGTTAATTACATTGTTAGGTTAAAAAAGTCAGGAAGAATTTTGCTTTTAAATTGGCAGTGTCCTGTTAAATATATATAATCTGTATACTTATATTTGGAATATGCACAAATTATGCATTTAAATGCAGACAGGAAACGCTATGCTTTTCATTGCATAGGTAGCTCTGAGGTGCACAAACATAAACGTAACTGATGCAAATATGATTAGCACAAGAATATCAAATGGTGTACAGACACATGTAACTACTAATCAATTCTCCAAAGCTTCCCAATGTTTTATAAAACAGGTAGGAAAAAGAAGAGATGTTAGGTCAGCTACAGGATTTTCCTCGAGTATATGACAAATCATCGTTACCATAGATAAAAGTGTTCCAGCAATCTTGAAGACAATCAAGACATACTATCAGACCTACTTCATTTCATGTATCCAACTTTAACAATGTTCAATATGTAGTTTAGTTAAACGTCACAGAAATGCTTACCAATGAAGATGTTGACATACGTTATAAATATTGCTATTGGTATCCCAGGCAATAATATATAGAATCTCTGTTTAGCAGGGAGATAGAAAAAGATGCCAGATCAGTTTCACAGAAAAATATATCACTTCTTCTGCAAATCTCAGTTATTTTTACAATCATCTCTTCTGTACTACAACACCAAAATCTGACCTTTCACAATATATCTTCTGTATGCAGCCAAATAAAGTTTATTATTGCAACTAAAATACTTTGTATTTATAACTAAGGATCTCAAAACATTGCAAAAAAACCCAAACTTCTAAACATTCCTCATAACCCAGGTGATACATGTATTAATCACATTTTTACAATGAAGCAAACAGAGCAACAGGAAAAATAAGTGACTTGAGAAAGTTATAAAGTTGACTCCGTTTCTGAGTTAGGGATGTATCATCCCATTCTCTTGTTCTAACTAGAGGTTGAACCTCTCTAGTCCAGCATTCTGGTTTGGCAACATCTGTGGTCCGACATGATTTTAGTTAGCTGGATGTTCACTTTTCATGGGGGTGGCCAAGTTTCCCACAGTCCCATGAAGTTTGTTTACAGCCACCCGTCCTGGCTCTCAGTTTTTGTGCTGTTATTTAGCTCTAATTTACCCTTACATATCTTCTGGGAGCCCAGTAAGCAGTGGAATTGTTAGTAATGCTGCTAAACAATATTGACCTCCCATGGTCTGGCAAATTCTCTGGTTTGACACCAGTCCTAAGGGTACCAAACTAGAGATGTTCAACCTGTACTAGGCAATACTGTTTCTATGTAAACAATATTACTGAAAGCCTGGAGCAGATTAACTGTCATGAAGCATTAAAACTACAAGCCTAAAGTTTCTGTGACTGAATTTGAGTCAAAACACAAATTTAAAAAAAATCCACTTCAAGCTGGATTTAACATGTGATCTGTTAAAAAGAACAATTATCATTAACTGAAAAGTGTATGTTTGGCGATGCAGACCCTCTGGCCTCCATCAAGGAGTCCCATCTGGCTATTTTCCTCTTCATATTGAATCTGATCCAAACCTGACCTTGTCATTAACTTGAACAAGGTTTGGATCAGGCCTACAGAGTTTATATATGTCTGGTGTGGATCAGCGAGATGGAAGCAGGATACACTTATTGTGGTACAGCAATAGGGGATCCTGGACTGGGAGAAGTTTTACAAGATTTAAACAGCCAAAAGGTTAAACCTAGAGAGAAGAGGACAGTTAAAATTAAAAAAGGACAACAAGCAAGGATTTAAAATAATAACAATAAAAATGTGGCAGTTAACTAACAATATCTTAAAATTAGGCAACTGAAAGGAGTGTGTGTGTGTGTATTATGTATTTATTTATTTATGTGACACACATGATTTTTAAAAGGCCACACAAAAATTAGAACCTTGACCACTTAGTTGGTATGATGTATTCCTTTGTCCTGTCTGTCTTTGTTTTTATAAACAAAGTTCTTCATGATAGAAAGTAGGAAATCTTGTTTGTGAGGCTAGTGCCTAGTAGTACTTTGGATGCTACTGTATTGTAAACAATAGGAACGAGCATATTAATGACTTAAATAACACAATCCTTCAATAAGTTACATTAAGAGTGGAAACAATAACAAAAATTAACTCACCAGCAAACTCAGAAATCGTTTGTCATAGAACTTTGTTGCAGTGATGGGAAACATTTTCTTCCCATGGCTTCCATGTCGAACTGGAGCTGCAAAATTAAACCATGGTATTATGTTCTTTTCCCATCTTTAGTGACTATGTACAGACTCTTCAATGCATGAAAAAAGTAGTAAAACACTGACTAATGGGGGTAACTGTGGAATGGGGAGTCCCAATTATACACTTTAGAAGTGGGGGTATCCAAAATAAAATTCTCTCCATGGAGCAAATCATGGAGGCAAAACTGATGAATTGAAGGAAATTTTGTTTGCCCAAGAATCCTCCCTGTAAAATTTCTACTGGTAGGTAAGCTCACACTCTAGCACGCTACTCAGTTTTGAGTAGCGGTGGCCAAAATTTTGACCCCCAACTCTATCGTGGAATACGTGTAAAGGTGACATATCAGCTCCTACATGGACACTTGTGCAGAGGACTATAAATTCTTTCAGTTTTGCAAGATTATCAACAGGAATGAAATCAACAGTTAGAAGCAATGACTGAGATATTGAAAAGGAGGTTTATATCAGGCTGTACTACATATTTAGTGTGGGAGTCTGCTGAACATTTGGGTTCCAACCTTGCAACAAGCTCTGCATGAGCAGAGCTCTGCATTCTCAAAGCAGATTCAATATGGCTTAGTGCAAGAGTCTTCTCATACGATGTGCATTAAATGATCAAGGTAATGAGAAAATTCTCCATTTTCAAGTATCTTTAGGAGCTAGCTATTCCAAGAAAAAGTTTAACAGCTTGCAGTTCTCATCTACAGATCTCAAAGACCACCTCATTCTCTCCTTTTCACAAAGGGAAACCAAAACATGAGTATTTTGGCTAAGGTCACTGTGGCCCTTTCTCAGGGTGACCAGGATTGTGTCACTTTATTTCCCCCCTCACAGAAGCAGGGGAAACATCACTCATCTGTGCTGATCCTAGCCCTCACTGTGCATTATAGGTTAAAAAGAGGTGCATCCCAGTCCTCTTTAGGTCAGCTCTTATATAACATAGCACTGAGATATATTTCTCATAAAAGGCTAAGATTTAAGAGATAACTAATAAGGACAAAGGGTTACATATAAAACAAAATCATAACACACTTTTTATATATTAAACTTAACAGACTATCCTTGTGTCTAAAGCTGTCTATTCTTAACCAAAGCCTTCTTTCAGCATCTCCAACTCACATAACTGGTATCCCTTTTTCATACATGCCAAAAGCACTGTATTTTTGCTTTCTCGGTAAAGTATCAAGGACAGGGATGTTAGTTTATAGTCGTTTAAACAATTAACCAATAAGACTGGTTTAAACAATTAACCAATAATCCAAACAATTACACACTCCCCCAACCCTGGCTGCCTCTGTATCAGAGGCAGTAAGGAAGGGAGCATGGGAGCCAGTGCCTGTACGGAGCCAACTTTTAAGCCAGCTCACCACAAGCACCGCATCCTGCAGAGCCGCTCCCACGCCATTGCCTCTGACAAAAGCAGCAGCACAGAGGGTAAGGGGGGTAGGCGGGAGGTGGTACATACAGAAAGCCAGCTTTCAAGCCAGCACGTATCGGCTCCTGCAGAGCTACATGCAGAAAGCCAGCTTTCAAGCCTGCTCCCTGCATGTATCGGCTCCTGTAGAGCTGCTTGTCCCCCCTGCACTGCAGGAAGGAGAAAATACACGAGGAGTTGGCTTTTAAGCCATCTCTCCATATGTGCCAGCTCTATGGAGCTGCCCATTCCCCTTGCTGCCCCCCACGAGAACTGCCTTTGCAGAGCTGCCACCGCCCTCTATTCCCTCACCCCCGCACTGCTGCCTCTATATCAGACCAAGCTCACCATGGACAGAGGCTGATCCGTGGGGCTTTTCCCAGTGCCTTTTTTGTGACGGTACTGCCCAATATTCAGTACCGGCATCTCTGGTCAGAGCTCAACAACTTTTCCCCTGGAGTACCGGCACTTTTTTTTTTTAAACAAAAAAAAAAAGCACTGGCTGTTCCTACCCAGTGCTGCTGCCTCTATATCAGAGGCAGCAGGGGGGGGTGGCAGGGGGCTCCCCAGGAGCAGGGCCACGAGCAGGGCTGGGAGCGCACTGGCTGCCGGCTCTGCTTCCGGGGACCATCAAATAATTGTGTAACTGATAAGATTTGGTGTGGTTACACAATTATTAAAATAAACTACATCTAATATCCCTAATCAAGGAGTGTCTTTTTGCCTTCTTCTCGTAGCCCCAAAGTTCACTTACTACTGGGAGAACTGTGCACCACTGTGTGCACAATTAACTAAGTGCATGTTGGTACGGTCACACCAATTTGGCACCATCCCAACAGTGCACATATTTTAAACTTTTTGTGCAGAAAAAAAACTTCTGTGGAAATTTGCTGCAGTTCTGCCTTTTGCTCACCAGAGGCTGCTGTGGTGATAGAACAGAACAGCAACTCCCAGCCAGATAAGGAAGAAAAAGAGGCATCTTCATAGCACCTGTTGGACCAGGTCAGAAGACAGGGGCTATGAGGAGATAGACATTGTGGAGCTGCTATGGGGAGAGGGTCAGACAGAGGCTCATAAGGCTTATTGTGGGGGGACAGACTGGGCAAGGGGCTAAATGAGAGTGGAAGTGCAGGACCACATAGTGATGGGGGAAGCTAGGGACACATATGGATGGAGGGTGGCTGAGTGGGAACACAGAAACACATGGGTATATGGGCACGTGTGCACAGCCACATAGAGACAGGGGGGGAAAGAGGAGGTGGTGGTGTAGGGCCACATGGGAATAGGAGGAATGGATGTCTGAGTGGAGGTGGAGGGACACATGGGGACAGCGGCAGATGTTCCTGACTGAATGGAAAATGCCAGGGGTTAGCCAGGGTCTGCACGGAGGAAGCTCCTTAACAATCTCTCCTCACCCCCTCAAAAAGCCTGTTTCATACTTTCCCCACCCATACCCAACAATCCTCTAAGTTCACACCTTGGCTTCTTAGTTCCTAGCACTTATTTCCCTCTGCCTGCCCAACAATCCTCCAAGTTCACACCTTGGCTCCTTAGTTCCTAGCACTTATTTCCCTCTGCCTCAGATCCTCCATTATCTCTGACTTCCCCCAACCATGCGCTATGTCTGAAGGGTGCAAGAAATAGTTTTGTATTGTAGTTTAACTGAATTATTATTCAGAGTTCAGTATTAATATGCCTAGTAAGGAATCTATTTAACAAAAAAGATTCAGGACATTTTTTTGACGTCTGTATAGTTACAGACATACTTGCTGCAATTTTTTGTTGCAGAATTTTTAAGCACAGACTTCCTTCAGATGTAGTTCACTAACTTTGCGTGAGGTCAAGCGAAGCCTTATAGCTAGATTTTCTTCCCCTACGTACACCTTTCCTATTGCCTTCATATGTAAATGGAGATTTCATTGTATTGTTTTCCAGCGCTTCACCTGCATGACCAGTGGAGAGTTGTGTGACTTGAGAGCCTTTGTCTGACCAAAACCTGTTTGTCAGCACTGCCTTGGACACAGACCTTAAATTAAAGTACAAATATTTACATAATGAAAATATCAGAGGCACTGGAAATGGCGGTGCCAGGGAAGCCATAGCCTTTCCACACACCCCAATAAAGTCAGGGAGCCCCACTGGGGAGTTTGGGCAGCTGTGTGGACCTTCCACCTGCCCATGATGCGGGGCAGCACTCTCTACTAGAAAAGTAACAGTGTAACTATTTAAATGGTTAACATAAGCATACGCTTATTTGTTACCATAGCAGGTTCCTGGACCCGCTCCTGGAGAGCTGGCTAACACCCCATGCTGTGGATGTATAAAGCTTATACAGGAAAGCACACAACACAGCTGGCTCTCTAGGCATGGGGCTGGCAGCCCGAGCTCCCAGTGCACAGTGGCTGCTGGCCCAGCTCCCAGTGAGCCGGCTGCACCTGGGGCTCCGCTGTACAAGTTTTATACAGCAGAGCCCGCGGTGTGTGGTCGTGTAACCGCTCAGGCTTACAGCGGTTATACGGTTATCTAATTAACCGCTTTTTAACAGCCCTAGTGCCTGAGTGTAACGGTCTCCGTGACAGAGCAGGAAACCCTTTGCCGGTTGGCCCCACGGGGTGTCACAATCACACGAGGAGCGTGTGAATCCCAGGGCCCGCACGGCGGTGCTCTGACCGCTAGAAAAAAAATCCCTCCTCCTTGTTGATAGAAGCCCCACCCCAAGGAGCCCCCCCCCCCCCCCCCCCCAACCCCCCCCCCCCCCCCAACCACACCCCCC